CAGAGCATGGCAATTTAGAGTGAAATATATCTAAACAGTCATATTTTTAAAATAAATAATGTAATCAGGATAGTAATGACCTTTGAGGTGTCACTAATGACAACCTCCAACCAAAATGGAAAATGGTGTGGGATGCTGCAGTTCAGTGACATTAGGGGAATTAAAACATTTGCTGCCCAATCATATTCAGGCCTAATGAGCTGTGAGGCCTACAGAGTTCAATGGGGCTTAATCCTAGTGAGCATGCATAAATTACAGCCTTATTGTTTTTAGTTGGCTACTTCAGGCAGGATACACATAATAATATAATATTATTACATTTCATGTATTAATACATATAAAAGCTGGGCAAAAAATAAAAAGCAAAACTTTAAAATCCATGCTTGTACAGAGTCTGTGCATTTAATCTATGTAAACACGCAATGAAATGAAGAACACGTCTTTGATCCCAAGGTACCTGTATTACACTCCCACACAACTCATTTTGCCCAGAGAGAGCAGTAAAAACATAAACGCTACCCCAGCAGTTCTTTTCCAAGCGCATCTGTTAATTCACTCCATTTATAAAATACATATTGACAAAGACAACTGTACTGGGACCAGGGAGATTTGATTTGGTGTGAGAAAGTCAATTCAATGTGATTTTGTTAAAGGGCTCCTGCAGGCAAATAAAAAGAGTTTAGGTAATAAAGTACATAAAGAGATGTTTTATGAAGCAATGCTTTCCAGTGGCAGCCATTCACTGTGCTGCTTTAAAAGGGGTAAAGTTCAGAAAGAACATTAGATAATGTTTCCTGTGTTCTTCTGAGCTGAAACACTGAATGTTTCACATAAGGTCAATGACAGAAGACCAGTCCCAGTTTAGGTTTAGTTTGTCAGGAGAGAAGAGAAATATTTATCTTCTACTATCATTAATAGAATTGTTTTCAGGGTTATTCATAAAATATCAGGAGTCTAATATAACAACTTTGCATACCAATATATTTTATTTAAAAGCATAGATTGTTGTAAGTTCCAATTCACATCATCAAAAGCATGGGCAAGATAAACTGATATTGGATTTTAAATAGGGATGAAGCATGGGGGGAGAGGGGGAAGGGAGGGAAAGACAGAAGGCAAGAAGGTTATATAGAGTCTTGTAAGACAGACTTTAAGTATTTTATCAATTGATAAATGTAATGTATTATAAATCCATTGTGCTCGTTGACACATTCTAAGAATGGAATTTTTGGAAAAATGTAAATTCATTAATGTCTTACTAAATTGTGTTGGTAAACACACACATATATACACAAACAATTCCACAAAAGTAGTTACTTTGACATTTGTAATGGAGTGTCCTGAGCGGTAGAAATATTCTAGTATTACTTTATCCTTGTTTTGAATGATAATGTCCAACTTATGTCCATTAATTTTTTTCTAAGCCTGTTTTGCCTCTTTTTTCTATGTAGAATCCAGTGAGGCATTGATGGCAGATGATGGCATATATCAGTTTTGGGGAAGATTATGTGAAGGTGCATCTAAATCTGTATGTGAATTTATTGAGACCTGATGGTGTTGGTGAAAATGTACAGGCAATCAAGGTAGCTCACAAAAAGCTTATTTTTTTTCCCCAATAAAATGGGTTAATCTGAAAAGATACACCCAGACTCTTCCTCATTTTTGGTTATCGTACACTAACAAAGCTGTCCTCCTACAATGTCATTTAGCATCGAAGTATATGGAGGTTAATGATGTAGAATAAAAATTATAGTTTAAAAACTTCACAAGCTTAGTAGGATGGATAAGAGATGGAGGGTTGGATGATCCAACTTAGTTCAAAAGTATTTGGATATATAGAATCAGATGTGCTGCACCTTTTGTATTAACTCCTCTGTTCCTCTATTTATAAATCTCTCTGGAAAACAGTAATACTTAAAAAAAAAAGATTACTGTTGAATACACATTCAAGGTTATACATTTCCTAGGCTACTTATGCACTGGTTGTCTTTCAGTTATTGCCATGTAAAATATTTTCTTCACTACCTGTGTTTAAACCTCTCCCACACTTAATAATCAGCCTGGAGATTTGAGAACTTCTAAAAAACCTGTCTTCTTTGATGACTATATGCAATTTCACATGGAAAAAGTCATCTTCCATGTTCTGACATAACACTCAAGGAAGAACATCATTTGCATTCTCCACAATGCAGCAGGGAAAAAAATTATGATGCTTAAATGCTAATACTATTAATTTTATCACATTCATTCCAACCCCATCTCTGCTTGAGGATTCATAACTATATATTTTCTGCTCTCCATATACTGATAACATTACTATGCTTTGCCTGACTTGCAAAATGCAAATACATGTCTTATATCATTTCAAACTGGCCAAATAACATTTTGAAAACATGGACGCAAAGAGTGGCATGCATAAATCTTTATAAAATAAAATGAATAATAAAAATGATAAGAACAATCAGAAGAAGTAAAAGAGATATAATCTGTTGAGATACTTAACCACTTTCCTGCATTTTCCTCAATCTAATTTTGAAGGCCTTCAAGTTACACCACTTGGAAATAATAATTCCTTTGTATTGCTTTATAAAAGGACCATTAGACATAAGACATAAAGAATTTGTAACCTTCTCATTAACCTCTCAAAATGGAATCCATTCCAAACCAAGCTCTGAATGCAACCAAGAGTCTTCCTAGTTAATTGTTATCCTTATCAAAAAATGACCCACATTAACATTTTCCTTGGGGTAATCAGAGTCTCTTTCTTTTTGTGTGTGTTTGTATATACACATGCAGAAAGTGACCAGTATTGTTTTTGTTAGCCATACATGGAAAATGAAGGAGAAGAAAATAAAAAAAGAGTTTCTTTCCAAGAAACAAAAATAACAAGCACATAAAATAACCATTGCCTGGAATGGACAACTGCTTGCTCTATTTGTTGTTGTTGCTGTTAAAGGCAATATGCTTTGTGTCACTATACTTTACTTGCCTTTGTAAACAGCATTAAGTGTGTTAACAGAAATCACTGAAAAGGTCGGAGGTCAGAGAAATAATCATCTTCTTTTAGAACACCGAGATTAATGAGACTGACCAAAGCCTCTCTGCTAATTCCTTGGGATACATTTTTTGGGGATGACATCATGGGAGACATTCTAATATCGTGATATATGAATGACTTCTGAAGGCATTGAATTTAGGATGTGCTGCATAGCTTGGCAGAAATTCAAAGTCCTTCTGAGCACACACGATGTGTGCCAAACCATGGGTAATGCAGTCAATTTAGCTCCTGACCTCACAATTGCCTACAAAGACATGTATGCATTAAATATCCAGGGAAAAAGCTTTCCTTCGGCCACCAGACTTATTCCGTATAAACATTGGCCAATAATCAATGTGAAAAAAATTAAATTAAAAGATGCTCAAAGCAAGCTTAAATTTGCATTGATAAATATCTCAGCATCTTAGGCAACATGGTATCGGTAAGGGCCAATAGACTGTGGATAGCTTCCTCGGCTTCATACGTCCCTGACTTTAATTAAAAAATAATTAACCTTTTAAAGGGCACTGTGATTTTGATGAATATGTTTGGATCCAAATAGGCTCTCGGAGGCATTTGAGGGAAATAAAAACAATAGCCAATGTTTTCTTTGGAACTACTTATGTACATCTGCCTCTCAACACAGCCAAGATAAACTGTAGTGGCAACAAGTATCCTGAAGAGCAAGAACCAAGGGTGGAGAGTTTTCTCTTCAGTTTGCCTTCTGGCAAATAGGTGTCCTGTGATTGGCAATGGGCCATCTGGCCGCCCTTTTATGTCTAGGCAAACCATTCCCCCATGAATCTATTTTTGTTTGAACACCCAGAATGCACTCTATAAAAAGCCAATTGGCCCCCAAGGATTTCTGACTTGTTATCTGAACAGTCATAATGCATTTTTTAATCAGAAACAACACAATAGCAGAATAACAGAGTTGAAAGGGACCTTGGAGGTCTTCTAGTCCAACCCCCTGCTCAAGCAGGAAGCCCTATACCATTTCAGAAAAATCCCATCTTACAAAATTCCAGTGTTGGTGCATTCACAACTTCTGTAGGCAAGTTGTTCCACTGATTAATTATTCTAATTGTCAGGAAACCTCCTTAATTCTAGGTTGCTTCTCTCCTTAATTATTTTCCATCCATTGCTTCTTTTCCTGCCTTCAGATGCTTTGGAGAATGTGTTGACCCACTCTTCTTTGTGGCAGCCCCTTAGATATTTGCACACTGCTATCATGTCATCCCTAGTCCTTCTTTTCATTAAATTAGATATACCCAATTCCTGCAACAATTTTTCATACATTTTCTGAAGCAATGTAATATATTTGTAAGAATCACAATAGGTGGCAGTACCTAGTTAACCTGATTGACCTGAAAAACTAGGCAGGCATTGATAGGAGATGGCTAGGTAAGCCAAGAGCTATAGATTAGACTGGGAAAAATATTTTGGAAGAAGTCCAGGGCAGTCATCTCCATTTAATTGATAACAAAACCTCCCTATAAAAGCATGTCTGTGTGATTAGTAGGTTCCTTATATACTTTTATAGTTCTAGGACTGGATAAACTGGACCAGCTCATTTTCTTTAGCATGGGATAACTGCATGTTCTTTGCTCTTCAACTGGTCTCATTCCACTAGCAGGTCAGGTCTACCATTTAGAATGAAGTCACCTATTGATTACATAGCAAAAGTACTTGGCTCAGTATGGATTCCAATACTCATATTCTTGGGTCTTGTCACATATTCATTGATGGTAAAATTATTTAGATAACAAATGTAGATAAGTAGTGGCATTTTTGGTTAACTGATTTAACACCATAATAGTGGAACAGACTGCTTCCTTAGACAAATTCCATTTCTCATTCTGAAAGTGAATAGGAAGCCCATTAATTCATGCTTAAAGTCAGCCCTGAGTTCCTTATTAAAGGCTCCCACTATATGACTGAATATCTGTGAAATGCCCCTTACCTGTGAATATCCGTGTAGAATAGTTACCCCAACATTGATACTCTGGTTCCACTGTATACCTCTGACGTCCACAACAAGCACATGATGCATTCAGAAGAAATGAAAGATACTTGTCCACACAGCATTGGAAACTTGGAGTATTGTACTGATTCCCATTGTAACATATCTAATTTTTTAAAAAAAGATATAGTTTAAAGTATAAAGCATTTCCTGATAGAGCAATATCAACATAACATACATAAACCCACAAATGCATTAAAACAGAATTCTTATTCAGCATTGATGTTGTTATGTACTTTAGGTAATGAAATGTCTACAAGAAAACAGCCAAATTCAGAGAGCAGCGGGGACCCGTGAATTCTTACTGTTTAGCAAAAATCTAAGGGAAACTGATCAAGTCATCAATAAAATGTGCAGATCATTTACTTAGTTATAAAATCAAATTGAATTTATCAAAAATTACAATAAATCTTGGATAGAGCACTATGAATAAATTTATGGCTATGAAGCATAATCTCAGAAATATATCAATGATAAGTTTAAATCTGTGGGCTTGCAGCTATTTCAGGAAGATTTTTTTTCCAAAATTCAGCAGAGAATGTGAATTTTCTTATGGTCACAAACAGCAGCAACCATACAAGCCCAAGTTTTATAGATTAGGGAAAGAAAGGAAGGAAGGAAGGAAGGAAGGAAGGAAGGAAGGAAGGAAGGAAGGAAGGAAGGAAGGAAGGAAGGAA